AACCGTGACTCGCAAATCTGCAGGGGCCTCCTGTGGATCTGAAACAGGGGGCTACACAGGTGAAATCGTGTTGCAGTGAAGTCTGTTATGTGAACATTCCAAAAAACTGAATCAGCACAGGGCTTCAAAGTGTAGTTTCCGTGAAGTGTAATTTGATGCTAACAAAATAAAAGATGGCTTCGCTGACATGCTAGAATACAGAATGCAGTCATGGTGCTGTGATTTTTTTTCCTGGATTTTATCACTGTAGATTCCTATAACCAGCAATGAAAATGACATTCTTAGCCCTATTTCTACCTCTAATGATTTGTGACATATCATGTCTTACTCGTATTTAAGGCATTCCCATCACCATCTAAGAATTACCAAATCTGAAGATGCTTTTTTCTTTTTTTTACCTACAAGCCCAAAGAGCACTAAAGCTTTCTTCTTTCTCCTTCACTCTCCCCTCTCTCTCCCATCCTAGAGGTCTTGAATCCCAATGACAAAAGTGTCTGAAAAGTAGATGGAAGAAAGCAAAAGGCTTCAAATTATTTGGTCTCTTCTACTGGTCGTGCCATCTTCACAGGCAGAAATTCTTTTTTTAGTGCAAAAAACCACACCTATCAGGCAGTCGAAGTTGTTGCAGCCAAAGAGTCCAGTAACTACAGGACTGGTAGGTAGAGACTGCAAAAGATTCTATTGAAAAGCATGTTCAGTCAAATAGAATTTCCATCATCTAGCTGCTTTACCTAAAAGAAACACCCTGTTCAATAACGCACTAGAGAGAAATCATTTTCTAAATGCAAGTAGGGATGCAGCCGCTCTGGAAAAGCCCTTTATTCTGACTGCATTACTGTATCTGCAAGCTCCACCTCTGCAAACATGAAAATCAATGTAACAATTCGATGTACAAGGCAAGGCCTACGGCACTGCTAATGTCCCCTTGCTGGACATACACCTTAAGTCTCAGAGCTCTCAGGAGGTTTGCTGTGGAATAAAATTAGATTCCACATCTGCCACCATTAAGGAAAAAAATCCATTTCTGTCTCCCATATGAAAACACTATAACCACTGAACAGTAACTGAACCTTGATACCGTAATGGCTATTACCCAAATCAACTATTTTTTTTTAAACAGTAAAATTAGCGAATTCTGCTCTCATAATTATTTGAATGTTATCAGACTAAATGTTTGATAAAATTCTAATATGATTCACTTGGAAAAAAGGCTGCTTGTTTGAATACCCACAGTATACAGTGTATTCATTTGTAGCGATTCACATTATGCTCAAAGCATATCATCTTTTTAAAGTCTGCATTAGCCTGCTTTCCTACCCAAGCACAAAAAGTAGCCTACCTTCAGTTTGCAGTTGCATACTTCACCCAGACATTTCTACTAACGTTAAAAACGATCTCATTTCTATTACTCATCGAAGAGAAAGTATAATACATGTGAAATGGTGGGATCTGAAAAGCTGGTTTCTTTTCCTGAAAATACTTCGTGCATTAGTCATTGCAGACCACAGCTACACATGTCTGGTTCCACCACATTCTGGGGCTGTACTATCTTTTCAAAATAATTCTGCTCTCTGCCATTCAGGGGATTTACCTAAAGCTTTACTTTGTAAAATAAAAAGTATCTGAGATACAAAAATAGATAATAAATAAGTCACTCTGTGTGAAGGTCCGAGTCTTTTGCTTAGCACATTGTAAGACATTATCTATTTGTGTTACAGTGCTGTAAATCTAAAAGCTCTTCTGCATGCATGACAGCATGGGAGCTCCTCCCATGTTAAAAGAAATCTTGGGTTCAAAAAGGTCATTTCCCAATACCAGAACAGCAGTGACTCAGCCTGGACCGTAGCGTCCTTTGAGTCCTCCACCACGTACCCTTCCCTACACCCCAACCCCAAACAGACGTGAAAAAGCTTGGCTTCTAAGGGCCCTATGTTGGCAAGAACCCATATTCCATGAATATGTCAGTGAAGAAAGGAAAGTCCCTCCCATTCCACTATCAATTAGTCCAGCATCCTTAATTCCTCTTTCCTTTGGTCCTGATGCTGCCTGGAACCCTGAGGAGACACTAAAATAGTGATGCTGAGATGCAGAATTTGGGGTTGGCTCTCCTACTTTTTAGTCAAGTAACCCTCGTGTAAAATGAGGAAATCAATGTTACAGCCCACAGGGTTACTGAGAACTAAGTGCAGATAATATATAATGCAGGACGGGGTCTAGCACAAAAAAGGTAGTGAATGTTAGGCCAACATAGAGAATCAGGGCGAGATACAGAAGCAGATGGGGCTGGACCAGTTGAGACAAAATGGCTCCAGCACACTGTACACATGTTTCATTTGGGAGGACCTCTGCCCATGCTGACAAGCCTTGGCACCTATCTCCAAGGCATAAACAACTCTTGCGCAAGTTAAGAATTCTGACCATGAGAAAGGTATGTCGGATTTGAAAATTTTTTTTTTTTTTTTGGTTTTGGTTTGTTTTCTAGTTTTTCTATTTCCTTCACAAAAAATCATGGCAGGTGAACAGAACTTAAGTCAATGGACTACCTGCCCTTGTTAAGTTAGATCTCTTCTCTTAGGGATATATACAGTTTTTGGACTTATTTTTCAGTAATCATCAACTTTTAGATTTTCATAAAGAGGGCAGTGCTAACATCTAAACTGAACAGCTAAGAGAAAGCTACAAAAACGCTTTTTAACGAAGTTCCAGTAAATTAGTAGTTAGGAATAACTATGTGAGGGAATGAAAGTTAACGGTCTGCTGGACCCCAGTAGTCTACAATTGGCCCCTTGGAATCTCTTTCAACCAGTAATGAGGAGATGAGCTAGCAGCTTTGGGGGTTCTGGGGAACACACCATCATGGCAGACACACAGAAGTTGGCAACTGACATCTTTGAAAGTGACTCATGGGGAGCTTCGTAGGACAGGAGTCCAAAGAGCAAAGATGTTAAAAAAAACCCCTAGAACATCACTCACATGACATTACCAACCCATTGCTACCACTGTCTGAATAGCTCCAAAATCAGTACTCAGCCCAGGAGGGGAGAATTGGGGATATCATTTAAAAGAAAGAAAGAATGAAGGTTGCAAAAACGCTGCTAGCCAGGAGGAGCTATGCTCTCGTCAGAAAGGAAAGGGAGGGTGGTGGTGATTATATGACAGATGCCAACTTACCCAAAAGTTTTAATATTCTATTTTTGTTTGTTGGTTTTAAGGCTGCCCCTTATCACAATAATGCATGTTTAGTTTCTCTGTTTATCCATTCTGGAGATTGGGGGAAAGTGTTTGGCCTTGTAAGAAGACAGTCTGTTATTCTTGATAATTTAATTGGAAAGGTCAGAAGAGATGCAGAATCAGAAAGAAAAGCAGGATAAACTATGTTGAAATATGAGATCCTCATCCTAATTAGACTAAATAGCCAAAAGAAGAAGGTGCAGGGTGGGTGGGTGAGGGGCGATGTACAAACAGGACATTTCTCCTTAATGCCTAGTCTTGGCATGTAAATGAAGACATCTGAAGAAGCACACAGGTTTGAAGCGGCTCTGACATTCTATCATAATTAGAAACATTTCAAGAGCCCTGTAATTTCCAATCAAAATTACAGTAATTTCCGATATACAAGCCATGATTCATGACAGAATTTTACATTCCATGAGAGATTACGGTGGCCTGATGTATGACACGCCGAGTATGGCACTAACATAAACAATTCAGTTTAATGTTTAAACAGCACTTGATGTTTAGAATCTCACAATAAAAGAAACATATTATTGTAGAAATTATCACTTTGACAGTGATTGAAGGGTACGCAGGCATGTGGCCTATAAAGCTATAATTTTTACAGTCCACAGCTTGAGTTTAATCATTTTTATATAACATTTCCAAGATATCCCTTACGTATTTCCAGCCAGCCTACAACTTAAACAAGAACAACCTTTTCTCAAGCAAAACTCCCATCAAGGACCACTATTAATGTTGCTAGAGTGAAATTTCAGAAAAACCTAATAATGAAAGTACTGTATTGTAAATACATCATATTGTAAATAGTCTCAGGACTGTATAATTTTATCAGAGGCTGACAGCAGCCAGGCTGTTTTACAAAGGAGAGTTCATTAACGATAATGAAATATATTTCTCTAAAATTTCCTTGATTGCCTCTCAATCTCACTTTGATAGTGTTATCAAATCTTTCTGCAAAGGGGACAAGACTTATACTGGACAAGACCGGTATTCTTCTGGTCCTTTAAAAAGTATTCCTGGCCTTGAACAAGGGTTTGTAGATAGCTGTGAGATTGTTTATGTAGATGACTCTACTTTTGATGAACATAAATTATCAATATATGACAAAAAGGCTGCATTATCTATCCTTCGTTATGTCTTGTAGGGATCTGTCACTTTTCCCATTCAATTTGATTCATTTATAATTCAAAAGATATAGACAATTTTTCTAATTGTAATTAAATTTGTGTGTCATATATACATATATATATATAAAACTAAAATCATTATTTTACAAAGCTGTGTGTGTGTGTGTGTGTGTGTGTGTGTGTGTCACTTGGTTTTAATAAGCACACCTAACAGTTGTAGGTGCCTGACTTGGAACAGAAAAAAACTACAGTGCTCGTAGTATTTTAGGATAGAAATCAAGGTCACCTAAGTACTAATGAAATAATAATAATTCAAGTTATTTGTTCCATTACAATAGACCAGATGGAGAAACCTTACTCTGGATGGAGAAACATTACTCTTCTGGAAACAACTATTAACTGACTCAGGGATTTCCTGAGAAATCTGTGGTCTGGACAGTAGATGTTGGAGGAAACACAACCAAGTGTCTCTGTTCCCTGAATCTGAACACTCTGTTTCATCATGAGCTCTGTCAATAATCCTGGAAACCGTGACCTCTCAGGGATACAAGTTCAACTTGCAAATAGACACCCCTTCGAAGGAACTTTCACAGGCATCGCAGATAAACATTCTCCATGCCTAACAGAGGCTCTTACCTGGCTTTTGGTTGCTGCCACCTTTGCAAACAGAGCTTGGGAAACTTTAGCGCGCTTCATTTCCTGCTGAATCTCGTCGTAAATGGAAGCATTAATGTTCATGGTATTGTTCTCTGGTTTCCCATTCCTCTCAGTGGCAATGGTAGCTGTTTTCACCTACAAAACATTTTGAACATGCCTGTCATTTTCCACTGGCCAAGCTGTTTTGAAGCTTCTCAGGCTCGGCATCCAAACTGGATACTGTTGCTCCTTTTACGATCAAGGTGATCAACAATGCGGTCATTCAACATGAGCTCTTAGCTGGATATCAGATTGCTTAAGTTAAGGAAGTCATAGTGTCACAGGTGACCGCAGCTGTAATACGACAGCAACTACCAGCTGACAACCAGGAATTATAATGCCATAAAGTAAGTTTTCTGGAAAATGGAATAGTTTCAAAGACTTGAAAACCCTAAACTAATTGTTTCCCAATTACCTTCCACGGCAATTCTAACAAAGGAAATTCACAATTAAAATCATAATGCACAGTGCTGTATCTTCTATCTTCGCTGGGTACCCGATGCCTAAGAGACAATTGCATCACTAATAGCTATTACATACTACGGCCTTTTAAATTTTAGACTCTTTTTTTTTTAAATGCCTCTTATGTTTCATTTAAAAAATCTTCCATAACAAAGCCATTTGCAGAGCTGCACATTTAAATCTTCTATCCATCCATGAAACAGGTAGAGTGCCTTGCTTAATTATCATAAAGGCTGGTTGCATTTTACACATGCATGTCCAAGCTGTTCTGTATAATTATTTCATCATTTCCTGGCACCGCTGTATATAACTCTTTCCTTTTGACTGGTGGAACCAGACAATAAGAAAAAGTTTCACAATATTTAATAGAACATGACTGCAAGTTACACAAAATATATAAACAGTGACTTACAAATATATTCAAAATGTATAATCTTGAGTGAGAAATTAATATAAATGCCTTTGGTAATAATGATAAGCAGATAGCTGCAGAAAAATGCCACAAAATTTAGGGGGAAAATCAACCTCAGAATTTATTGATACCATGATTAATCTTCAAAACTTAAAAACAATCTTTAAAACTTTAAATCTTTAAAATAAAAATCTGATCTTTATTGAGCATTTATAGGAACCAACCAGCCTGGGAAATTCACATATGAACCATGTAGCTGCTTTTTACTGGGAAACCGATGAAAACATAAATGAAAAGTTGTCCAGATGCAGGACCACATTTCTCCTGGCAAAGTGATTCATCAAGGACCACGTTTCTTAGGGTCCTTTACAGAATCCAGGCTTTCCTTCTCTAGAAACTTACCATCTTGGACCATTTCTCTCATCCACTAGGAACAACAGAAAATGAAGCTCATTTTAAGATAAACAAATGATTTTGGGGCACTAAATGACACACCTTCCTAGTCATACAGTAAGTCTTCTAATGTTTATTTCACCCTGCCCCCAAATATTTGGTATCAAAAGAGGGGCAGAGGTTATCCTAAGCCATTTAATTCCCTGCACTTAGAGAGTAAAGCTGAGTCTCCTTGACAACGTGCTTTCTGACTCGTAACTCCTACCTGGTGAGCAAAATAACTCACCTCTGGAGGATGCAGCTAGACTCTCCCACCTGGACACTACCCTTGGGAGCACGGAAAGGATAATGCTGGGAAATGGTTGGACCACAGGCCCCCAGTGAGGACACAAAAGGTGAGGCAGGACAAGGGACCCACTGGCTGGCCTCACTGGCCTCTCCTAAAGCATAATCCGCAGACAGAAACAGCAAGAGCAGAGGCTGGATTTCAGCCTTCCCCTGCCAGCTCTGCACTCCAGTAAGCAAGGGCACTAACTCACGGAGGCATCTTAAGGACTGGGGGCCAGTAGGCACAGACACAGGGCTTTGAAGCAGTAATCTGCTAAACACCACTTTAGGAGCCAGAAGAGTTAATGCATTACCATAAATTGCCTACAAAGTTGCTTTGCTGAGATTTGCAACTTTGCTCTGGGGTGGTCTTGCTTTGAGGCAGAAGGATAGATTTGATCACCACATGGGGTCCCTTTTAATACCTATTTTTTTCACTGCTTAAATGAAAGAGAAAAGAAAAGCCATTTCAATCGCTTTGAACATTGAATGTTATGGAAATGGAGGCATGAAGTTCAGGGCATTGGAAGAAACAGTTCCTTGGAAGAAACAGTTCCTTGGTATCATCTGCTTAGCAACAGTTAAGAGGGCAGGCTTTGGAAACTTGGTGTTTCAGTGTGTTTTGAAAATCATTTTCATTCTTTTGTAAAAATGATGTTTAAGAATTTATCTTCGAGGTGGGTTACAATCATTTGTTTCAACCCTGTGATTTTGTTTCTAAAAATTTCTTTGGTTTAATTTTTCTTTTTTTAATAAAGCAATTACAACTTGAACCAAAAAGCAAACATTTTAAATCATAAAAAAGAAAAATCTCCTAGTAGCCAACACAATCAAAAGTTGAAAAGTACTTTTTTGGTTTTTTAAAGTACTTTTTAAAAGTTCTTTGTAAAAGGTCTTTCAAAAAAAAAAAAAAAAAAAGAAGTGAGAGGGCTTCCCTGGTGGCACAGTGAGTGGTTGAGAGTCCGCCTGCCGATGCAGGGGACGTGGGTTCGTGCCCCGGTCCGGGAAGATCCCACATGCCGCAGAGCAGCTGGGCCTGTGAGCCATGGCCGCTGAGCCTGCGCGTCCAGAGCCTGTGCTCCGCAACAGGAGAGGCCACAACAGTGAGAGGCCCGCGTACCGCAAAAAAAAAAAGTGAGAGCAACAACTTTTAAAAATATTAAGAAACTGTATTACTCATTTAAAAAATATTTAGAAAAGCTCTTCCTCATCATCTTGTTGGCTCAGATATGCATCTTATTAGAGATAAGCTATTAGAATTCTGGAACCACATTTTTCTCTAAACACAAGGTATTGCTTAAGGGGAACTGACTTGGACAGCTTTTCAAAAATATGAAAGCTGAAATTTTTCCCCAGGTAAAAATGGAAACAAAAATCTTTTATACCTCACTCTACTAAGTACTATTTTAGCTTAGCTCAAAAAAAATCTTCTTTAATCCTGGTTTAGCTTTTAATATTATATCACACATTAAAATTCATAAAGTAGTTCATTCCAGGCAAAACAAACTACTCTTCAGCTCTTCTCTGCAAATAGCACAGGAGGTAAAATAAATGCAGTTGCTTTCTGAATAGCATTTATCAAGGTAGCGTGTACCACTCCATCATTACGGTGGCGCCAGGGAAGTAGTTAAGAATTGGAGCTTCTGCTATTTACCCTCCCACATGGGGAGAGGGTGTAGCACTAGGGTGTGCTTTTTATTTCACTACAATTGTTCAGTAGAAAACAGATTTTCCGTGAGAATTTTTTGCTCCTTTACCGCTGCTGAATTCATCAACCCATACTACAAAATGAACTATATATACTACATACGTACTATATATGTACTACATACAGGCTACACAAAATGGACTCTACTGTGGTCCTGACTGGCGTCTGTGCTCTTCCTTGATGCAAGTGGAATTGCCTGCAAGCTCATACTGCACACATGCGTGAGGGCATGCCCATATGCAATTAAAGTTTGATGTAGTTTTAATAATAATTATGATAATAAGAGAGACTCACATTTATCAGTTGTTTATTATGAGCTGGGCCTTGTGTTAACATACATTAACCTGCCTAATAGCCCTGAGTAGGTAATGTCACATTACTGCCCCATTTTTAAATGGAGAAGCTAACAAAGAGGTTAAGTAATTTGTCCATGGGGCAAGGCTGAGAACTGAACTTAAGTCTAACACCAATGCTTATCTTAGGAATCACTGCAATACACTGAGGGTATGATGTTATATAGGGCTTCTTTATTTGGGAAAATTCTTATTATTTTTTTAAGACATGCTGCACCTGCTTTTTGGTGGCCCTTTGCTAAATCTAGCTCATGAATGTCTAATTTTTAGTAGGGAATGGTTTTATCATTAGTTTAAAAAATCCGTGCTATTTTGAGGAATTCCTATTGGTGATAGAAAACAGTCCACATTTTCATACTTTTATATATTAACACTGTTTTGAGTATCATGGTTCTATCTTTTTACACTTTTCTTCCTTTTGTAGAAACCATATTAGTTATTTTCCAGATCTAGACTTTCAAAAGTCCTCTAGCTTTTAAAAGATGACCATTAATGAGAAGTGTTTTCCAAGCACATATGTGATCTTAAAATAAAGCTGGTCAAGGGATTCATAACAAATAAAACTTTTATCAAGTGTGAAGTTCCTGCCCACAACTGAACCTATGTTTCATTATACTACAGAAGAATGTGTTGTAAAGAGGCAGAAGTGTGCAACTACCAGATTAAATTAATTATATATCGCTTCTATTGACATAAACTTTGTACATTTTCTAAAACATTGTTATAAAATGTCCCATCTTCAGAAGAAACCAAAGAATGCCATAACGAGATGTTAAAAAAAGAAAAAATATTATATAATTCATGTAAAAGTTATAACTTGATAATTATAGGCTTTCAAATGGTCCTTATGAAGACAGAAATTGCTAATTTAACTCCAAAAGTCACACATCTTAAAACACACAAATAAACCCATAATAAGTGCACACCTAAATAGAAACCATCAACTTAAAATGGATATGTTTAGTGCAATAGACAACTTCCAGAAAATAATAATTAATTACTATTAATAAGACTCATCTTGTAAACTCATCTGGAAAATTTGCTAAGCGATAGTCAGAAAAGAAACCTTTAAGGCCATGGAGCTTTGGAGGGATTGGATTCTCCCAGATACTCTTACCACCAAAGTTTGGAAAGGGCTCTTTTCTCTACAATCTCAGAAATGCCCAACTGTCTAAAGTCCTCCAAAGTGGACCATTTGTCAAATATTCAATGTATTCTATCAGAAGAATATTTCACATGTGTTCCTTTTTCTAACCTAACAAGAAAACCTCTCATCCTCTCTGACAAACAGAAAGAGTCCCTGAGTTTCATTTTCTCCTTTCTAAAATGTCTGTCTTCTGAGGACGTGGCTTGAGGTAGGGGAAAGAGCATCCGACTGAATAGGGGATTTGAAAACTAAGTATTTGACTTTTCTCATTTTTCTCATACCAAAAAGTTGGTATAATGATTCCATGAATTCATGCATGTGAAGGTGCTGAGAAAACTGTGAATCATTGTCAAGTGCAAGGTATTCATATTTCTTGAATCAGAGCATGTACATTGTGAAAATATGCTTTCAACCAACAGCTCTGGCCCGGAGCCTACTGCCCCAGCCAGAAGACAAAGCTCCTGGTGTGGCTACCCCTACTGAAGCCTGAGGGACAGGAGTGCACAGGAGCCATCTCGCCAAGGCAGAGCCAGCCAAGAGCTTCCTGAGGCTGGTCTAGGTTTTCCCTGGTGAGGTTCTCCTAAGAATAACACCCAGGGCCTGAAGGAAGCCCCTTCTTGAAGATGATTTATAACCTGAGTTCCTCAATGGTTTAGGTCCTTGGTCTGGCAGGACCCAGGGACATCCAATCATCTTCCATATGACCTAAACTCTTCAGAGAAGCTGGAAGATAATCCAGTCTCTCAGGCCTAAAGGTGTCCTGGGTCTTCAGTGAGCCACAAGGGACCTCTGCCTTCAACAAGCATTAGAAAGAAATCCTGTTCCGGTCCAACCCAAGCCAAAGACTAGTCTCAAAACAGATTTCGAATATCTTCATTGTGGGGGGGCAGGGGTGGGGAATGAAATGCACAGTGATTTCACACAGATTCCTCTCTGGCAAAATATAAAATATAAAAAGACAAAATCCTGCAGTCCTTTTCTATACCTGTGGTCTCCTCCTTTACTAAACCCCTTCCATTTTAGTCATCTGTAAATAAGCACATGAAAACCTTATGTGTGGTATATTGGTTCCAGGTTAAGCACTGGATTTCAACTGCTGCAAAACAGTACTAACTCAACTGCTCTATAACCCGTTTTTCCAAATCCTAAGTACTCATTTTACATTGATAATACATTTAATACATTAAAAATTCCCTAAAATTTAATTCATTGAATCACTGTCAAAGGGTAAAAGGTGAACAAACTGGTTGTGAGCTCTGTTATGATAAAATTAAGGAATGCAAAGGGATTCTCTATGAAGCAGTGAAATAAAATTATTCATACATATCGGATAATCACTTCAGAATGTGGTTAGATGGCCAATAATATTGTGTTAATAGAAACTTTTTTTCTTTGAAAGAGCTTCACTAAGAATCTACAGTATCTAAGTACATTCATCATTGGCTAAATATCCCAGCCAAAGGCTTGGTCTCAACCCCCTCTTGAGAACAAACACATACAGCTGAGGGTGGCTCAACCAGTTTATCAGTAATTCAGGCCAAAATAAATTATAGTTTCTATCCCAACTTATCAGCAGGTATAGTCTTTAGACATACATATAGGAAAGCAACCCAGAGTATCTTAATAGTATACAAAAATAAATATCACAATTAAGAATTAATGTAATTTTGGCTAAAAAAACAAAAAACGATGAGTAAGGAAAGCAGAATCATATCTGGAAAACAAATAAAAGCATTAAAGTCCTAGAAAAATTAGAAAACAAAAGCTATATTAAGGAACTACTAAGTCAAATATTTGGATAGATTAAAACAAAACAAAAGAAGAAGCTCAACGCTTAAATTCACACTGGTCTTAAGTAAGCCCTTCTTTTGTTAGTATTGCAAGATTAAGTGATAAATAAAATAACTCTGCCCAGAGGCCTTCCAATGATGACTGCAACAGCAAAATTAACTAATGATGGTACATATGATAACTCTAAACACCACAAACTCAGTGTTCAATCAAGTCCAAGTATTTTTTGTTTAATCACTCTTACAAAAGTCATATATGTATATAAAGAATTCCTCATTCTTTTTGGTAAGAAATATTGTATTGAAGGCTTAACAGATCAAATTCAGTAAGTGTGTGTGTCGGCAGATGGATATGTATGCATGTATTTGGGTGCCATTCTTTTCTGCTTAGAGAAACATATCTTTCTTAAAATTACAGCAATGCCTTCTTTATCGTCTGCTCCTATAGACATTAAGACTTAATTGATTTTCATTGAATAAAATGGAGAAAACGGACCTTTGGGATGGTTCCAAACAATAATCATTTCAGAACGTTACAATATGCAGTTTAAGACCCTCCACAAGTGGCTGTATATTATGTCTATTTCTTATTTATGGAGTATCTATGGCAGTTTCACTTTTAGTGTTGAGTGAGTTTTATCTCTATACTTGGAAATGGATGACCATTTTTTACTATTGATGAAATTAACATTAAGAGATAATTTCATTATGACATTATGTTACATAAGCACTTTTAATTAGTACTCCATATTTACTTTCCATCGTTTTAGCTGACCTCATTGTTAAGAGTTGCACAGGCCACAAATTAAATGTGTAAGAAATATATTTGCTTGTGGATCTTACATCTAAGCCACTCTCAAATTTGTTTCTAATAGTTGTACTGAAAATTAACTTCTCAATTCTCATAATAGTTTTGAGGCTACCTTTTAAACTTGATTAAAAAAAATACAGATGCGCATACACAAAATTACCTGGCAGGTGACTTCTGTCCTTTCTAAAAAGTGCAAAAACTTGGAAAATAGAAAACGTGCCCATTTCTGGGAATATGGATGGAATTCCTTATCAGCCCCATTTAAAGCTGCCTTCAAGGATTGTATTAAACTTAATTATGAAAGATTACAAACGAGATGATGCGTAATTGGTACCAGCTGCAGTTGGTATTGGAAAGCATAAATACAAATGGAATTATTTATTTTTATTTATTTACTATTCAAATGGTGGTTCTAAAACGTGCAGGGATAAAATGGACTTCATTACTTTTTTTTTTTCCTATTGAGTTTAAAATACCTTTTTACTTAATAGTAGTAGGGCCAAATATCCCATTTCAACATGACTTTTCACCCCCAAAGAACTCCCCAAATGAAGCAACACAAAGTAATTTTTTTCCCTCTATCTAATTAGTAGCTACTTGTTTTTACATCAGAATCAGTGAGCTGGGACCAAATTCTCCTCAAGCAAGTCTATGAATTACTATTAAAAAAAAAAAATCCCTATCCATCTACCTTTCTCATGCTTGTTGAGATTCTTCCTTAGACTTTTTCTTTTTTTTAAACAAAAACAAAAAGCAGAAAGGTGAGGAGGAAAAAGAGAGTTCACCTGGGGAGGGCGGCTGGGCGGTGTGCTTATCAGGGGGGCAGGACCCATCGCTGAGGCTGCATTCAAGCTCCTTTCCCTTTCATCCTGGTAAATTCGATCTCTCTCAGCTTCCGGTAACTGCAAGAAATTCTGCATAGCCCGAAGGTTTACCAGCAAAGACTGGGATGCAGTCTTGGGGTCCTCTTCCTTTCGTAGGATTTCTGAAAGCAAGCCCTGCAGGGAATGAAAGGCACAGGGTGAGCTTGGCCCCATGCTCTGCCCAGCCCGCGGTGAACCTTTCCTTTTCTTCTCCACTCTGTTCAGAAAATGAACAGTCAGAAGCATTAATTCCACATAGGAATATATTAGTTACAATTGAAGTGGTAGAGAAGAGAGCCTCAATTGTATTCTTAATTTTATTAAGCGTCTGCTTTACATATAACATGAACTGCAACTGCCTAATTGGTCTCCTTCTTTTGAGTAGCTTAACTTGCCATGAAATCTTTCACAGAGACAGGATTGAGGCAAGTTAAGAATAAATGAAATGCTCATAATACGACAGCACTGAACTGTATAGTTCTCAAGCTGCCAACACAAAGGCAGCGGAATGCCAACAGCCCAATATGTAAAGATACAAAGCCATTTCGAGAGAAGTAGGATTTACAAAGAAAATACTCGAAAATGAATTGTAACATACTAGGAAAAAGAATATCACTAAAGCATCATCTAAGATTTATGCTATGTTTTTGCAGGCAATATTTTACATTATTCCTTGGTTTTCAAATTATTGGAGTCAATGACAAGTGATTCTTTCTATTTACCGCTTAAGGAAACTATACTGCTTGCTATACAATATGCCTCTGAGTAACAGGTTGAAAATCTGAACTTCAGAAACCATCCTTTAAATTTGAAATACATAACCCCCTTTCCATACTGCAAAAATCCATCATAGCATGCCAAGAAAAAGAATATTACCAAATTCTGTAAAAATCAAATTTCTTGAGGAATAAACATTTTTAATAGTGCTAGAAGAAATTCACAAACCATTAGTAAACTTCTTTATGGTATTCCTCCCCAAATAACAGAGAATTGTTAACTACTTCTTTAATTTTTGGAAGAATGCATTTTAAAAATGGGTGTTTCTCCACAATTTTGTTTAAGGGCTTATATGAAATACAAGGATTAGAAACATTTTCTGCCCATTTGATAAGGACTGAGCAGGCCTTACCTCTTCAACCTTCCGCATGAAAAAATGCCTGGAATGCCAAGACGTGTTTGCTTTCTACATTTCAGTTTATCACAATATGGCTCAGAATAAAATGTTGTGGAGATCTCTATATCATTTGCAAATTTCACTTTCTAATAACCCTGCAGAAATGGCAACAGGGTACATTTGGGAAAGGGAGGTAAAGTGTCATGTCAAAACAACCAAGCCCCAACATTATAACATTGGGGTTTTTTCATGGTTTCCTAGAAGCGCAAACCTGGCTTTGTTCCCAATTCCTCAAGGAAAATGTAGCATATTGCCCCAAGATAGCAGTTGGGTACAGACAATATAAAAGCAGTGTCCACTTCAAAAACGATCTATATAGGCTGCTATTAAAAAAGATCCTCCAATAGGCTCGGGGGCTTAAGAGTACATTTTAGTTTCTCATTTGGTCTATGCAAGGGAAGCCAGTTTCACCCTAAGAAACGTGACTGAAGAATGAAGGGTACTTGTCCTTTCATTTATAATACTGACAAGTAATGTTGCAACTGTGTTTATACATGAGCAAAACATCCAGTCAATTTAACTAAAATTCAGTCAAACAGGCAGTCAATCACCCAGCTATTTAATTTGCGCAAGGCCAACTAATTAGATTGACTGTGTTTTTGATGTGTCACGTTGAAACCAAGAAATACAGGTCTCAGAAACAATGTTTGAAAATAGGTGTAAAAAAAACAGCCCTTGCTCTAAACTCTTCCCTACCAAATGGGGATAAAAAATTTTTAAAGATATTAAAAGATGTATTTCACAAAGCAATATATCTTAACTCTACAGAAAGAGAAACATACAGTACACATAAATACATTATAAATTCCTTGAGTACAACAGTCTAATATTCTTTTTTTGTCATCCCAGCACAATGCCTGCCACGTAAGTGTTTGATAAATATTTACTAAATGGATTATGTGTATTCAGACCATAGAAGGAAAAAATTCCAAATGGGTGACAGAAACTTAACAAGATATGCTCCCCATGGGAAAATTCTAATGGTCATTAATAATGTACTCAAGGTGAGCCTTCAGTGGAAAGTTATGTGGCACTTTGTAAGACGTTTATCTACACTAATTGTTCAGTAATTTAAAAAAATTTTTTTGCAGCAACATGGATGGACCTAGAGATTATCAAACTAAGTGAAGTAAGTCTGACAGAGAAAGACAAGTATCATGTATCACTTATATTCAGAATCTAAGAAAAATGGTACAAATGAACTTATTTACAAAACAGAAACAGACACACAGACAACAGAAAACAAACTTACGGTTACCAAAGAGGAAGGGAGAAAGGATAAAACAGGAGTGTGGGATTAACACATACACACTACTATCAACATACATAAAATAATCAACAAGGACCTACTGTATAGCACAGGGAACTATACTCAATATTTTGTAATAACCTATAAGGGAAAAGAATCTGAAAAAATATATATAAGAATATGAATATATGAGAACTGAATTACTGTGCTGTACACCTGAAGCTAACATAACATTGTAAATCAACTATACTTCAATAAAAAAAACAAAACACTTTAGGTCAAAAGAGATCCTATAAACAGATGTTATTATATTTGGGAAATTTGAAATTAGACATTCAGAGATCTCAGATAACAAAATGTCATCTCTTTCCATTACAAATGTTTCCCGAGACAGCAGGGAACTACAGTGAGAAAGCCAACACGTGAAAAAATACATAATGATATCAAGTCTTGCTAACATGAGACTGAGTCATTCCTGTATGGCTTAAAGTAACAGAAGGTCACCTGGGAGAGAATTTAGCAATTTCTCTACTCATATTTTGACATTAGCATGACGTCCCATTTGAGCATATGAAATGTTTTCCGGGCAAAGCATTTTATTTCCACTTAATTATTCTAACTAGAGCGAGTGAAGGTTTTCTGCCTGGGATGTGTTGAAGGTCTAGGCTGATATTTCAAATCCTGGGACATTTACAGAGCTCGAAAGCAGACAGTGTAGACAGTCTCAGGTATTTTACAAACCTTCGGGTTTTTGTGTGTTTTTTTTTTTTTTTTTTTTTTTGGCCCAGGCTTTCAATGAGGGGAGTGCCCCCTGGTGGAAATGCTTGAAAATATTATTAGAAAATGTTTTGATTATAATGTGTTAATTACTTTTTTAAAGAGAATGATGTCACTTGAGAAAATTCTGAATGTGAAACGACTGGCATTAGAATCCGGATATGGGAATGCACGTTTTGGTCCTGTTTGGGTTGTTGTTATTTGAGTAGCTACATTTATGGATTCAAGATGTATGTGGCCCTTGTTTCCCATTTCCCATGACTGAAAATCCAGTTAAGACTTGCCAAGTTAGGTCAAGGTCATTTGTAGTAATGCCTCATGGTGGATAGTAAGAGAGACCTCTTACCAAAAACTTTTCTTCATGCTAAAAAATAACATGTCAAGGTCATCATGTACCATACTTGCTACTGCTGAAATACCAGGACTAAAATATTTACCAATATTATGCCCCATAGGTGCTCAATAAATGTGCTGAATGAAATTAAACAAAATCATTAGTCATTTTTGTTTCCAAAAAGAACTTGCGACTTTGTATATTATGTAGTATGTTACCAGCACCTCATGGATATCAATTTTATGGGAAACGAGAAGCTGCTTTTCACGGCACTTCACATCTTCAAATTGTTCAATATGTGCTCTATACATGAAAACGTAAACTTATTCTGCATCGCCATTCCATAGTGGTTGCGAGATTTCTAATGTTTTCAATTAAAGAGTGAACTTGCTGATGAATACCTAAACCTTTTTTACATTCCAGAAAGAGTTTACAAGTAAAATTCATTAGTACTGGAAAAGAAAGAAAAACCTTCAATAAATATTATCAGTACTTCCAAAAGCTAATTATGAATTCTTTAAAACAGCAGATAAGCGAAAGAGACTGCCAATATGAACAAAAAGCCTGTCTGGCCTCCCGTTTGTCTCCTCTTTGAACATAATCACTGATTCAAATAGATTTTTATCAGCTTCGTGGAACTTCAAAGCCCTCAGAAGGAAAATATGATTTGATGAAACCTCCCTCTAAAAATAAAACACGTAGAAGATTCTTCAAGGCTACCTGCCTCTTGTTTGGTGAATTTTTAATCACATGTCCAGGTGAAAGACTACTTTCAAACTCCACCTCCTACCTTGGACTCAGGCCAAGCAAGTTATAAGCAGACACATTTATCTCTGTCGGTTGGGAGGCCAAACAAGAGCTGTCACGTTGGGGTAATAGCACCTTTTTACCTTTTATTCAATAGTGATATGGAGAGTGGACTTTTGTTAAATTACACTGTGAAGAATTATAGGAACACAGTAGCAATTTCTGTTATACTTAAGCAGGCAAATTTCTCTCCACCACATAATTTACAGAACTCAAATTCAATAAAACATTACATGATGGTCCATTACTGTTATCAGTTTTGAATAATCCATCTTCATTCTTTATTTTACTGGAAAATAAAGTGTGCCAAAGACAAGAGGAGGGGGGAGAAAAAAGGGGAAAAGCCACAGAATGGGATCAGAGTTAAACTATGGGATTTATTTTAAAAAGCGGGGGGAGCACTAAAGAATATATTTTCTTCTATCACGACCTTTAAGTAGCAGTAATACAGAGAAGTGAATTGAAAAGTATAAATCTAGAAGCTTCAGCAATTAATTTTAGCCATGGGTTTCCATTAAAAAGACATCAAGTAGGCATAACTGAATGAATGACAGATGCTAAAAGCTGGTACCTTCCGTAGCAATTAAAGAACATATGCCCATCAATTCAGAAGGGGGAAACATCCTTAAAACAAGGCATTATATAAATTTCATCACAAGCTTTCAGAAAAGGTAGACTCTTTTATCATCTTTTTGTTTTCTTTTGTTTTCGACTTTAAAAAATAGTGATACAGGAATGTCTTAAAAGAGAGGGGTATGTTTTAATTCAGGAGACCCAATTAAGCTGATGAGAAAATTCTCCAATGAAGAGTTGAAAGATGAGACCCAGGATTTTAAAGTTATACAGAGCTGTCGATATTCTCAACTCACAACAGCATTATCTATAAAATGAATGTTTTAACATACTGTTTATAGGATGCCAGTGTCTTTATCCGATCACATCAGAGAACTTTGCATTTGTATGTACATATTTTACATTAATTTTTTTAAAACCTGGAGCCGGAATTGCACACTGTAATAAGTACACACAAATGTGTCTGTGCGGTTTAACTCTGCAGAGCTCCTGCTCTATACATATGCATTAGCATGTGTATTTTCATCCTCCACACTCACACCATACACTCTCACGATGCACCTGCTTTTATTGAAATGCATACAGTTTGAAATAAACATACTACATACACTCATATGAATATATAATCATTAAAATAAATGCAGCTGTGTGTGTACGCGTGAGTGTGCGTGGTGTTTTGGTATGACCACCGAAAAGACATGCATGCTTGCGTGTTCCAAAGCGAATTCCCCAAAAGTGAACTCTTAAATATACATAGACAATGACTCTCATTGAAATCTGACGGCTTCAAACATGGCCCATCATCCACTTCGACGGAAGAGTCCCAATTACCTCTATACAGGTTTAAAACCAAACCCCTCTGTCATCCGGGGCTCCAGACAATTTTTCGGTAATGACGCTTTCTCAACTGGCTATTATTAATAAAGAGATGGATATCAAGCTGCACCCGGGTTTCATTCTCCTCTCTCCCTTGAAAACATTAAGTCACTGTTTTCAATGTTAACCACAGAGATAACCATCTTTTCGAAGAGATTGATAGGGTATAAAATAGAGAACTCTGTCTTTTTTCCAGTAACAAATCCTATTGATATCTGTGGAATCCGTCCACATGAAAACCCAAGGAGGACAAATGGTCACTCTCCAGGGTGATGATGCCTGGGACATTACAGCCCCACAGAAGAAAAAACACACTGATGGGTGGTGACCTTACCCTTTTCACCTTCAGCTAGACTCTCTTTACTACATAAAACACACTTTCCTTGGTCCTTTAAGAAATAACAATTTGCTCAATTTCCAAAATGCTTTCCACTGAATCTGTGAGTCATTTGTGTCCATGTCAGTGCTGTCTTTGTGGGCTTTCAATTCAGTTCAACAAGCAACTTTTATGCAGAGACCTGCCTGGTTTTTGCCCAGTACTAAGAACTACTGGTAGTTACCGCTATTTACAAAAATAAAGGATGCTGCCAGAAACAGGAGTAGCTAGAAGGCTGACTTGATCCTTTCATCCATTCATTTAAAAAATTTTTTTAAAATAATGACCCTCCAACTGAATAGAGGTGTCATATTAAATTTACCACCTAATAATGAACACATTTTTAAGTTGTAAAGATATATTAATAAAACTAGGTAAAACCATACAATTTTAACCTGAGAAATAACTTTGCAACCACCCTTTTAAACACAGACAGATGATGTACAAAAAACAGTTAAAGAAACTGAAAACAAACACTGAGTTAAAGGCTTTGTAAGGCCTCCTAAGTTTCAATCCAGTGAAGGCAAGCCAAAAATAAGTCACAGCTGGGAATTCTCCTAGGTATGGAAACTGCCAGCAAGGAATTAATACTAGATATTTTTGTACCCGGATTTTATTTTAATTTTTTTTGCGGTACGCGGGCCTCCCACTGTTGTGGCCTCTCCCGTTGCGGAGCACAGGCTCCGGACGCGCAGGCCCAGTGGCCATGGCTCCGCGGCATGTGGGATCCTCCCGGACCGGGACACGAACCCGTGTCCTCTGCATCGGCAGGCGTACTCTCAACCACTGCGCCACCAGGGAAGCCCCCGGATTTTATTCTTATAATCATGTAATAAACAAAGTAACTTAAATACGAAAGGAAAGTATGAGTCAGGCCAAAAAAAAAAAAAAAATTGACGAAAGAACAGTGGCAAAACAAGAAAAGTTAAAAGGACATAATGTCCTCATTCTCATCAAAGTTACATGTTCTTCTGGGGTTTTTCTGGGGAGGGTGTGTGTGTGTGTAATAAACACCATGTATATATCATACTAGTTTCAAAAAATAAAGACATTTAAAAAAAATCCTCTCATTCAGTGTTTAATGGAATCAATTTTTTTTTTTTTTTTTTTTTTTTTTTTTTTTGTCTCTCACTGTTGTGGCCTCTCCCGTTGCGGAGCACAGGCTCTGGACGCGCACCGGGGAACGAACCCGTGTCCCCTGCATCGGCAAGCGGACTCTCAACCACTGCACCACCAGGGAAGCCCAATGGAATCAATTTTTTTAGGGCTTTTCAGATGTCTTTTATCTTAGGTCTTCTCCTGTATATCACCCTTTCTCCACATCCTGCTAAACATCTTCCTTCCTGATAATATCTTCACAGGAATTTGCCCAGGAGGACAAAGGTGCGAACACAAGGGGTATATGCAAATCTTGGCCTCCGAGGCCAAGCCTACCCCAGGGCCTGTTTTGTAAATAGTTTTATGCATTTCTGTCTATGGCTGCTATGGCCCTCAAAGACTAAAATACTTACTATCTGGCCTATCACCGAAAAGGTCTGCTGATCCCTGGTCTAGGAAAGGCGGATAGTGGGCTAGAAGCCTGGAGCCCTACCAATGAAATGGCCTTGGCCAAGTCCTCAAACCTTTCTCAATCTGCTACTAACAGTCTATAATTCCATTACATAAAAGCACAGGTAATGTCAGTTTGAAATATTTTCGATATTTATTCTTTCAAGGCCCCTGAATCAGGATCGATTTGTACACAGCTTTCTCTTGGTAGAAGAGGTTTACGATAAGCAGAGAAATGATAAAATGTAGGCACCCCCAGGTACAGACAATATGACCACAGGGAGAGAAGGAAAAAAAATGTTAGTACAAAGTAAGAGCATAAACATTAGTATAGATGGGATTAAAGAAGGAAGAGAAAAAGAGAGAGAGGAACCATTTACACATAAAACAAAACTGACCTGAGTTCTGTTAAAAGCCACACGTGCAAATACTGCCTGGGAGATTCCTGCCCGTTTCAGTTCATCACGTACCCACTGGTAGATTTCGGAAGACACCTCTGTGTTGGTGGAAACCTGTTGCTCCAAAGGCTTATTCATAGATCTACTAACAGGGGGAGGGTGGTTCAAGTACTGTTGGTTTAAGGACTGCTGGGCTAGAAGTCTGTTCACTGCATACTGCTGGTTCAGCAGCTGAGCCATCACCAGCTGCTGGTTGACCAACTGAGGACTGATGGGTGTTGACACGAGCCCAGGGTGCAGGTTGGGAAGAGGGGTCCGGACAGAGGGCTGGCTGCCGTGGGAGAGCTGCGCGGGGGACGGGGGTTGCTCCGCGGTGTTCCCTGGGACCGGCTGCTGGCCAAAGTTGACGTGGTTGGCACCTTGCTGGGATAGTTCAGAGAGACTATCCATTTCAACTGAAGTGGACAAGAAGGAAAATCACGTTGAGCCAACAATGATCTGCATTGATAAGGATCTCTGGTCATTCCCTAATACAGACAGAAGGCACAGGGCACACCCAAGGTCCAAGGAAACTAAGAACATCTCAAGATGGAACGCAACTGGCTATGCTTTTACTTTTGTCCTCTGCACCATGGCACAAACTTTGAAAGGGGGATAACGCTTTCTAGTTTTATAATGTGGTTTAGATTTAAGGCCAGAAATCAATTATTTTCAAAGTCTATGTGACTAGTCTGGGGGTCAAACGATTATCCACTCTTACTTCTTATAAGGCAACATGTATTTTAAAATAGCTTCTAGGGAATTCCCCGGCAGTCCAGTGGTTAGGACTTGGCGCTTTCACGGCTGAGGACCTGGGTTTGATCCCTGGTTGGGGACCTAAGATCCTGCAAGCCACGTGCTGCATGCGGCCCCCAAAAAACCAAATAGTTTCTAGAAGAACACTACTTCCTTAACGGCAACTAGAAAGAGTGAGTGGAGCCAGAAAAAGATCACATGCAACTGTAGAAAAAAGAAATATGCAAGTATTTTCTCATAATATATACATTAACTGTTACTACTCCAGGCAAAAAGTTTGCAAGAAAAAAAGTACACGAATGTTACTTATGTTCAATTTTAACCTAGCTGTTAATATAGAAAACTAACCAATATAATAAATAATAAAAGTGGTCATAATGATCAGTAATGATAACTGAGTGCATGCTGAACACTGGGCTGGGTATCTTACATGTCCTGTTTTGCTGAATTCTAACTATCATGTTAGATGATGGGTATAGCTGCAAATATTTCTTAGAATGAAGCAAAGGACTTAATGTATTGCAAGCCAGCATACCCAGTGTTGCTAAGACCCAAATGCTTCTTGAAGAAGCTGTGACCATCACCAGCTGCTATGACAATCTTTCAAGGAAGGGGTAGGGAGTCACTCTGATGCAATGGTGATACTGTCACCATCTTGCAATTTATTACCACCCACGCAGGACGAACGTTTCTCCCTTGGCTAGATCCCTCACAGGGACTGGTGGAGAGTGATAGTGAGCGTGTCAACTGCTTTCCTGCTACAGGGAAGAGACTGCTTGGATGCTCTTGACCTGAAAGGCTGAGGATGGTCAGTAGGTGAGTCTTTCTAAATAGTACACCATGGGAATTCCCTGGCGGTCCAGTGGTTAAGACTCCGCACTTTCACTGCTGTGGGGTCCGGGTTTGATCCCTGGTTGGGGAACTAAGATCCCACACGCTGTGCAGTGCGGCCAATAAATGAATAAATAGTACACCATGCTTCCCATGTGTGGACTCTGGGTTGATTTTAATCATCATTTCTCTTTTTATTAAATATTCAGGCTTTATATTTAGAGTAACTTATCATATTGCTATAGTCACTGATATATGCAAAATATAACTAAGCATTGGGGAAGAAACCTTCCATTTCTACCAGTGATATCAGCCCAAGTGGGCCATTCATAGGGAATAGTAATTCAAGCAATTATTCCAAAAAATGATGCATTGTCTTCATTACAGCTCTAAGCTATAAACGGCAAAGAATCTGTTTTGGTAGATGGATGGTTTTGCTTCAAATATTAAAAGCTAAAACAGGCTCAAAATTCAGGTTCTCTTGCCTCTTAAAATCTTCAGGAGAAGTTATTATTGTTTTACTGAATGAATGTAATGGAAGTAAACAGAAATAGACTTAAAACACAACGTAATGCTTTGCATATTAAACATCCCATTCCTATATTATTTTAAAACATTTTATTTGGTAGGTACAAGAAAGAAAACCTTAATAGAAATTAAAACATTAACCTTAATCACAGTGTTTGCTTTAACGAACACTAACAAACTCAACAGGGAGAAATGACATAATCTAAATGCTAGGTAGGGTACAACACACAACTTTTATCTGTCACTTCACACTGCAGATAATTTTAATGTATTTCCTGCGTAACAAATACTGACCTAAAGTTACATGTTAAGATAGGATGCCATGGCATTGAGAGTCTAGAAATGATGCAATGGTTCTTTGGTTACGGATGGTAAAGCAATATGCTCACCAAAGTGCCTATCTGGGGGGGCTGGAGACTATAGCTGTAAATATCACTTGATCTCAACTGTGGAGACTATAAATACAATTGAATATCCTCAAAAATTGGGTGTAAAAATTGGCACTTTCCCTTTCTCTCAAAGAAAACTCAAAAAACCATAAAAGCATGATTTATCTCTGAGAGAACCCACAGCCAATATTAGTTATTCAAGGCCTGGTTAGGTCTTCGCTGAGATGTTAAAAAATGACAGCTCCCCCCCACACCCCGCCTCGCCTCCATCTCCTGCATGTCTGACAACCAAGTCAGTTGGGCTGATTTAAACACAAACATTTATTGAATTTAATTATCTCATTATACTCAGACCCACTCCCCACCCTCCAAGAAACATTCTAAATTGATCTCTAATTGGGCAATCACAAGACCTGGCTTTACATGCAACTTGGATAAACCCCCAAATGACACGTAATGGTATGTAGCCACCGCTGCAACGGTTTTCTGCTTACCCATCATATCTTTTGTCTTCTTGAAATGTTTGTACCACCTTCCAAATTCTTGACATTTTGCTGCTGAGACATTTGCATAGTAAGTGCTGTTCACAATGGAAGAAATCATACTCTGCATGAAGAGGGGGATGGAAACAGTTGTAATACACAGCGGCACAAGACAGAACACAGACATGATTTCAATTGTGGAAACTGTAACTTTTTTTCATCAACTGAGTACCAATACATTTTTGTTTCACACTGTAGCCTAAAGCCATGACTTCTTCAAAGTCAATAAGTAGAGCATCAAATGCTTTATTTAAGTAGAAAGCAACAGTCCACTGAGACTGGTATAAAATGATCACACCCACAGACTTTGCTCTAGTATGTATGGGACCTCCACCAATGTCATGTGTTCCTGGGAGGACAAACTTCAAACTTCCACCGATCCCAATAAATCCAAATACTTGGAGATGACTTTCTGATTGTAATTCATAAATAAATGCCACTTTGTGGTTTGGTGACTAAATTCTCCATCCTTGCAACTCCCAGGATGGCCCAGGGACCATAATATCAGCATCATCTGGAAGCTTATTAGAAATGCAGAATATTGGGCCCTACTCCAGACCTGGTCAAGCAACACCTGCATTTTAATCAGATCCCCGGGGATTTGCGTGCCCACTAAAGTTTGGGAAACACCCCTTGCACTTTCCAGTCATGGTATTTGGGTTTCACTTGGAGGTAAATTAACACTGTTGCAAGGCTGACTGACCACATTTAAGAAGAGAAAAACTATTCACAAAGATCCTCTAACAGAAGAAAAACATATGCTGCAATCTTATTGCTAGCTTCATATATAGTAAGGCTTGGGTTTTGAATTTCAAACTAACCATATCATTTTTTAAAATATGCATTTCATGGTGACTCATCTCTCAAGGATACCACAAAAAAGAAAACGCCCTATTTTGTCACTTGTCTTCATCCTGCTTCTAATAACAAAAGCTTGGAAAATGGAGTCAACAGTTTAACATAGAAAAATGAAGAAAGACAATGATTTTGATGTATTACTAGTTTTGCCTTTTTTTTTTAAACTCATTTTCAACAAAGAAAAGTATTTTCTTCCCAGGAAATTTTGGTTCTCGTCATTTCAGTGACTTGGTCATGGTTATTTCCAGCCACAACACTCATATTCTCTAGTAGTGGCTAAATTAATTTCCCATCGAGTCGTAGGAATAATTAGACTTTGCAGAGCCAATCTGTCCTCCACTCCTATGTGTAGAAACACGAGAACTTACATTTCAGACTTCAAGTGGTCTGTGGTGAAAACGATTTACAGAAGGCGGGGAACAAGCAGAAAAGCCAGTTTGGGGACAAAAGTATTTTTACATCGTTACCTTCTTTAAGCTACTTCTAACGTAGAGCTCTTTTGATTATCATTGTTTCTCCTGACATCCGTCATCAGTGTTAATTTTGTAGCATGCACACATTCCTGTAATATGTAAACCTTGGGGACCTTTGAAGAACTTCCAGTGAAGGATAAGCTGGAGTTACACTATTGATGTAAAACATGGCTATCTTTCCTAAGAGGCACTATGATATCTTTCTTTTTTTTTTTTTTGACACTTTCTACTGGATAGTCATTTTTACATTTCTCTAAAAAGACATTCTTAATGTGCTCATGATACTCTGCCATTAATCCAGACTAAGAGAGTCCCTCAGTCCAAGGTACAAAAAGATACTTAGCAAGGTTGCCAAAACCGGACCCAGAAGATTACCTGATCCAGTTAACAATCCGTCAGCTTCAATCACACTTACTCTATTAATGATCGATCAATAAAGTCAGACACTAACAAAACTACTGAGACGGCTGATGGATCACTGTGATTCTGCAAATGGGTGAGAGCCCATGTTCTTCTACTTTGGTCCAATTTTTAAAAAATTATTACTCTTCAACTTAGACATGCTGGCAGATTCTTAAATGTTAACATAATAGTACATGTAAATTTTAGATGTAGCTTATGTCTTAGTTTTCAGAAAAGTCTGAAATATCAAAGTTTTGCTGAGGTTTTTGACAAATGTCCAGGCTACCTGACTTTGCCAATGGTTCCATCTATGAGATTTGCTCTTTGCTGTGCACCTACTATGTCCCTGGCTGGTACTAGGGATACAAGGGCAGATAAGATACAGCCTCTGCCTACAAGAAGTTTACCGTCTATTAGGAAGAGACATGTAAACAGATCATTTCAATTTAATGTGATTCAGTAGAGCAAGAGTGGAAAATATATGGGGGTGGGGGAGGAAGAAAAATATACAATGTGTGAGAAAAAGAAAAAAAAACATCTGAAATATTTTTATAAAACTAGGGCCCATATGTAACAGTGCTATGTAGTTCATTATTACCCATATGTGGAAAATAATATCCATATGTGCGTGTTCATCAAAGCTTCCCCCTGCCCTCGTTTAACCCTAAATTGGTAGGCTCTGTCCTTAAGTGACTTTCTGGATGCTTTCTACTCTGTCAAGTGGTGCGGGCTTAGGGAAACGCTGAATAACGTAAATATTAGCCTAAGTGAGACATAAGTCAAAAGGCTAATCCACAGGTTATGACGCATGCCAAAGCAACTTTCTAGATTCTCTATCTTTCTGTGCTATTAGGGGGCCGGGAAATAGTCCATAATTCAGGTAACTTGGGGTCACCTCTATTTTTACTGGAACAATATGCAGTGATATGTCCAACTAAACTGCTCAGGCAGCCACTGCATGAGACATTTTTTTTCCCTGTGGTAAAATCCCCATTGAAGGCTTAGGCATAGCACCTAACTAGGTCTATGAGTTTTAAAGGCAGGGAAGAGAGATTTCAGAATCTTGGGGGGGCACATGGTATTTGAAAGATCACATTCAGTCCTCTACTTAAATTTGGAAAATCATAAAGAAACACCTCTTGTTTTGATAATACAAAGAAGAGAAAGTCAAGATTGATAATACTTTCCTACGGGCTGAGGATGGATAAGGGGTAGGTAAACGAAGATCCATGTTTCTGAGAAAGAGGCTTGGGATTCTTCTGTCAATCAAAAGGATGTAGTTTAAAAAGATCACTAACTAAAAAGATTACTCACTAAGCTATGAGTCCATGCAGGTCTGGGGCTCTGTATTCCTTTCCAGCCCAAATGCCTGGCATGTATTAAATACACACTAAATGTTCATTTGATGAAGCAGAATGAGCTAAACCTGCATTCAAGTCCAACATGTATCACACACTGGTAGTGTGACCTCGGTCAGATTAACTGACCACTACGACAATTCCCAGTACTAAAAGGGAATGTCAGCAGCAGTCGCCTCTTGGGGCTGTTCTGAGAACCTATTCATATGGACATTTTTTTTTTTCATTCATCCAGGAACTATCTATGGAACTCCTGCTATGTGCCTAGAACTGAACAAGTCACTAGAAAAATAATGACTTGAAGAGACATACTATCTCCACTTGGACTGACAATAAATAAAACAATGAATGTGATACAATTAGCACAGAGCCTGGAACATACGGAGTATGGACTTAAGAGAAGTTAATTACTATGACAACCCTCTGCCTCCCTCTTCATTGGCTTTTATTATGTGATCACATTTCAGATCAGTCGAAAGACTATGCTTTAAATAACATATGAGTCTTAGATACAATTTTCAAATGATGTATTTTAAGTCAAAGAAATTTTCTTATGAAAGAACAAAGAGGATACAAATTAAATGATTCAATGACAAGTCGGGTCAAGGGATAACAAGGGAAAACATCAATGAAAAAGAGCATTTCCATTTGTTTCGATATTCCAATTTGGTGGTATCTTCCAAAGCTGGCCAGTAGGTACCAGGTGGTAGCTGACATCAGGAAGATACACACCACTCCTCTGACTTATTTGATCCATGCCCTCTTCCATCTCTAGCTAACAGCTGCTCACCTAGGATACAATTTCAGCGCGGACTCCTGCAAGGCTCTTCCTGATGGCCCAAACATCCCGTACATAGAACCTCTATGGCACCCATCACGCTGTTTGTTTCCTACTAGGTGGGTGAGCCTTGGGGCTTATCTCCATATAGCCTGGACCTATCACAGGGCTGGGCAACCTATTTGGTGATCGATAAAAGGTCACTGAAATAAGTCATTACTGCAGGCTACCAGAAAGTCCTCTTCTCTCTTTGTTTTCTTAAAGGTCAAAGGTAATGTTAGATTAATTGTCACAGGGAATCTTTTCGATCCATCAGTTTTAGCTGTCAAGCTCGAACTCAAAGAGTTTGAAGAACCTTTGTTCTTGAATTTGCAAGAGCTCCCTTCCAGGTTTTTGAAGCTACTTCCTCACAGATTCTTGGAAGTCACCGAGCTCGGTGCTCGTGTTCTCCCAGATCTCTGGGTGTCTATTTATACGAGCTTCTCCAAAGCACTGGGAAAAGGGCACGGCTTGCCTGACAAGTCTTCTTATTTGGTGGCCAGTCTGTGGAAAGCATCCACGTTCAGGGACTAAAATAACCAGGCTGATAAAACTCCTTCGGTTTAAATCCCAAGTTCAAACACTACCCAGGAACACAAACCAAGGAAGAGGCCCCAGCTTCCAGCGTCAGGAAATACAGTTTGGAAGTCGGCAGAAATTGGCTGTGGGTCTCCTAACCCCAGTGTGACACAATATTCTCATCCTAGGAGCCAAGTTGTAAGCTTTTCTAAGATCCATAAAGCACATGTCTGCGCCCTATGAGGAGCTCCGGCTCTTTCTGAGAGTCTGCTCGAGTTCCGATCTGAAAGAATGCCATCTTCACAGAAACCCTGGTTCTCTAGAATGATACCATCTGCCACAGGCTGAGCTTCCTTTTCAGCCAAATACATTATTTATAACCTTTCTAATTGTGAAAAGGTAAGGGTGGAATTTTTCTACAGGCTGACTTCGATATGGTTAGAACATTCTGAACCTTTGCTCTCAAATACTGCAGGTCTCTGCATTTGAAAAACAAAAAACAACCCCCAAACCCATAAGGAATTAGTGGAAGTTACATAATTTTTTCAAAATATTCTATCTTGTCAACCCCCCGCTAGAATAGGACGTACACTGTTAAGTATGTATTTATAACACATTTAGAAAACCGAAGGAAGAG